TCAAAGCGTCATTTAACGAAAGGCTTAAGTTCAAAGTAGTATTTGGTGAACTGCTTAGGTTAAGTAAAGGGTGCTTCTCTGGTTGAAGCATCAGTAAGCCTCCTTCTCAGGCTTGGAGCTTCAAACTTCCAGGCAGTGGCCACTCTGTTGGCCTGAGTTCAGTGTTCACTTTAGGTGAGTGAGCTTGTAGACAGAAAGTCTGCTTAGCTATGTATTACATAAGCTTACATCTGAACTGAACTTGATACATCCAGAATAATACGAGCTTTACTTGTCGGACGAACAGAAGAGATTTTGGAGCAACTTTATGCTTCCGTACTCGGAACAAGGTTTGGAAACCATGTCGACCGGCGGTGGTTATGGCACGGTTCAGGAGGGTGGGGAGAGTTTTCACTAAGAAAGGAGCAATACTAGCGCAATTGAAGATTAATCGCCTTCTGCGAGTTGAGTTTCACTCTCTGAAGGACATAGCAGAATTCGTACCAACTAGTTCTCTAATCCTAGCAGGGACATCCAGGTTGTTGCTTCTCCTCCACCTCCGTGGCCTGGTTCCGTGCTGTTGTCCAGCTCCTCAAGCTCACGGCACCAGCTCGGCCAGTCTTCACAGGCTTGACTTCCAATCCGCTTTCACGGACGCTCTCGAGTCGATCGTGGGAAATCGTCATTGAGGAGTCGGAGACAACAACTTTGGCCAGAATTTAAGGTTGAGCACCGAACTCTTTGCGGCGGCCAGGCGAGCTTTGAATTTCAAGCGCCAAGTATTTGCTAACATTTTTATTGTTTGCAAACTTGCATATGCATTTCTTAACAAAGCCTCTAATTTACCAAATTCTTTTGGACAATACTAACCTTAAAATGGAGCGACTTGCCATTTATTAGAGTTGGTAGATCACTCAAATAAAGATTGATAAATTCAAACGAGAGTCAGTAAATTTGAGGCATTGGTAAAAAATACAAACTGAAATTAGTAAAAAATAAGAAAAGCTAATAAACTGCAAACTGTAAAAAAGAACTGGTAATTTCGTAAAAATGTCGTTAAGTTATCAATAAGTTACCAAGAAATCAATTAACCGGTAACTAAATTAAATATTTTTTTGTAGTTGGCATTTAGAATGAAGAAATAAATTGTCATGCTCTTTGGTCCTAGAAGATGGTTTTTGGTTGGTCACAGAGTGTCGAAAATGTAAGAACACAAATTCAGAAATTATTTTTCAAAATACAACCGAAACACAGCGCTCGGACTAGGGACCTCGGCTCGGTTCAAGGAGATGGGGTCCCAGTCTTGGCTAGGCCCGGGTCCGGAGACCTAGGACCGGCCACTGGGGTCATGGATCGACGGTCGGGGTCTCAGGCGTAGGAATTGGGGCCGAGCATGAGTGGCGCTCGTTCCCATGTCCCCAGTAGTTGCGCACGAGACGCCGGCGAACGTGTCCCAATCCCCAGTGCCCAAGCTCAGGCTCAAGTCACCGGCGTTTGAGCTCAAGGTAAAATCACTTTCATATTTCATCTAAAAATAACTAGAAGATGAGCCTTTTTTTTTAAATACTTTCAGCACCATTCGGCTCATTAATAAATAACATAAACGCCTTCCAAAATTTGTCTTCTAGTTCAATTATTCCTCACACAGCCGACCTTAACTATTTGGGAATATTATACAGCTCTATAGTCTAAGACAATAAAACAAAAATTATAATACAGTCATCATAATCATACATGCATCGCGACAATGAGAACCTTCGAAATTTTATTAAGTGGTAAAATTGAGTAGATTCGTGCCCAAGCAGTCGGCCAACCACCACATGCATAAGGAGGATTTTGTTATATAAATTTCATGGCTAAAGCACAAAATATTTTTTTCAAAAAAGTGAGGCAAAATACTTAAACAAACAATCAGAACTCATCGAGTCATGTTCAATTCAAATAGTGTAAAATGAAAATCTGGACAAATACTTAAAAAAAGCTCGAGAAAGGAAAATAAGGAAAATTGGAAAAATTGGAAAAACACCCAATCTCGTAAATTATCGCATTATATTTCGGTCCTTTTTTTTGGGGTCAAATTTCGGTCCTTTACTTACGATCAAAATTCATATGATTCCTTGCTCTTTGAAAAAAAAAATATATATATATAATCTATGCAATCAATTTACGATAAGTGGAAAATGATGATCACATTTCATAGTACAGTGATGAAAACGACATTTCATTCAAACCACACAGACCGAAGAGTATATTTTATCAGAACTATGGTATGACTAGAGAAATTGGATGCTGAAACCTGATCATGATCTCACTTAATTTAATGAGAATAACAATGGGGAAAAGGACAATGGAAGTGTCATAATTTTCTTAGATCACTCATTTTGGTGTCAAAACTTTCGCCGGATCACTTAAAGTCCAACGTAGAATATGACATGGCTTTTCTAAACCTAAATGACACCATATCTTCTTCAAATTGAATCTCTTTCTCCAAATAAACAAATCTCTCTCTGTTGCCGCTTGTTCTCACTCGCTTTTCCTTTCCTGATCTGCAAGCTCTCACTATGAAGGGATTTTTATCGCTGTTTTGTTGCGGTTTGGCTGACGCTGAAGGTTGTCTTCTTCTTCTTCCTCTTGGTTCTCCATTTTTCAGCTCTGGCAACGCTTAATTAGTGTCAAAACGTTCATTTTCAGACGTTTACTGCTGCAAAAGAGAGAGAGAAGTCGCAGGTGGCCCAACCTTTTATACGAGTAGGCGGGCCTGAACCTTAGGCAGGTTGGCAAACCATCACTGATAAATTATATAAACAAAATGACACTTTTAATACTATTGCAGGGAGTTGATAAATTTTAGGATTTGCGCTGCAATTTTTCCAATTTTTTTTTAAATTGTTGTTTTATGTTATGTGAAAAGTAAAACCATGTACTATACACAAACATCACAAGGTGTACATTAGGAGGAAAAAAAATCCAAAATCATCCAAAAAAAAATCTCTCAAAAGCACATGCTATCCAATTACTAATCACACACCCAATCTCTTTAGTATATTTTGGAATTTCAGCTGTCATTAGAGAGAGAAATATCGACACATGGCTCCTCATGTTTTTAATTAAATTTTTAAATAATGTCGATGGTGTTGGAATCGAATGTTCATAATGGCTAGAATTAAAGCTCTATTTGTTTTGTGGAAAATGAATGATTTGAAAAGCATTTTCCTAAAAATAATCATTTATATCACTTGAAAAAATATAGTTAATGAAAAGCATTTTCGTTATCACTTGAAAAGCATTTTCGTTATCGACAACCATTTATGTTTAAACAATTTTCGCGAATGATGAAAATATTTTTCGTTCATTTATTTTCATAAACAATACAAGCGATCATTTTTTCAAAAATGCATTCCAAATTATTCATTTTCCACGAAACGCAACCTAATATATTTAACGTTAATAGTTTTGTCATCGACACGTGGCGAAATTCCATCTCTTCCCATCAAGTCGAAGGTTGTCATAATTGGATTCATGGATCCTAAATTACTATCCTGGCCTGTGTATTAGGGGCTTAGAAAACAACAGTGCAATGCACTAAAGTGATGCAATGCATGACGCAAGCTTCTTCTTCGGCTTTGGCCGATGGGGAAGGAACGGGAAGATAGCATTTATTTCAGCTGAACTCTTTTGGAATTTCCGAAAGAACGAAATGATGTTGCAAACCGAAGCGAACGACCACGCTTTCAATCCGATTAATTCTCGATAAATTAGTTTTTTTTTCCAAAGTTGCTAGCATTAGGAGTTGGTACTTTTCGTGTTCCAAGTGGAATTTGGCTCAATTTGTCAACTTGCAATTTAATAGCTTCCATGTTATTCATGGTATGAACTAGGATTTTATGATATGATTTGATTGAAATTTCGAAATTGATTTTAAATGCGAGCAAGGGATGCTCTTGAAGCTATTGCTTAAGAGATTTAATCATATTTTGGACATTTATTACTTAAATCCCCAAATTTATGAAAGATATAAAAGATTTAATCATATCTGCTTTAAAATACTTGACTTAGCCTGCTTTGTATATCTTTACACTAGTAAATTTCATCCCTGCATGGTAGGGAATTTATATTTCCGTCTTTACTTAGGAAAATTTAAAAAATGGATCCAATCATTCTTTAATTCAAATTTAACATTTTCTTGAATTTTTCAATCAATTGTCTTTAATTTCCGTAACACTCTAATTCATTTGAAAAACTTATTCTCCTTGACCCCTAATCTCTTAAAGTTTGTCGAACACAATATACAAAGTAGGCACAAATTTTTGGCAATCGCCCACCAAAACAAATCAATCGCTGCGAAATTCCCGAATTTGTCCTATCTTTTTCTACGACGTAACTAATTTACGCACTAAATGGCCGGTCTAGCCTGTTGAACCGAGCCCTGAGAGGACCTTCCGCTACCGTTGGCAACCACTGTAGGCGAGATTATATTGAAATCCCACCTTTCCAACTTGGCTGCCCGGTCCAGCCGGTCCAGTCTCCTGAAGTACCTCCCTGAGCTGCTCCCTTCGCCTCTGCATCGGTATCCTCGCCTTGAGCAACCTTCCAGGGGCAGGACCAGCCCGGACCGGTCCACCAATTATTTCCTCACCTCGGCGGGCAGCCTCAAGGTGAAACGCTCGGTGTCCTCGCTCGGTCGGACTAGTGAGTGCCCGGTCGAGTGCGAGCGAGGAAACCTCCAGATCCTGTCTAAGCCACCTGTTCGTTTGCGATTATTGAAGCTGCCTTAACTCGGATACCCCATACTCGACTCCGTTTCAGCCCGTAATTTGAAAAAAACGCGAGAAAAATATCAAATGACGTCAAAAACGCGTCAAATTTTAGAGGGAGTTAGAAAAACGTGTGCTGAACAACTTTCAAGTTTTAACATTTTGCTAAAAACCCCTTGATTTTTCCCAGTAATTCAATTTATTAGGACCATTTGGACCGTTTTCTAACCCGATTTATCGGAAAAATTTAACTTAACTCGGATACCCCATACTCGTTGACATCTATGCCATCAAATATGATCTCATTGCTAGCGCCTCTAAATATGGTAAGCTTGTTAGTGTAGCCCTTCTCTTTTCCATTGAATCATTTAAAAAGCTATTGAAAGTTTTCTGATATTTTAAAAGCAGTATATTAGTGTAATGATTGTAACTGCTCAACCGAGCGATGCATGTAGCTGGTTCTACCTAACCCTTCTTTGGGTCTAAATCTAATGAAAGATTATACCGTCAGCAAGGCATTTTGAATGTGACTCTAATAATCATTTTCAGGAAGCAATGACCACTTATATCACTCTGCAGGTTTTTTGAGTCCGCTAATGACTTACTGTGGTAATGGAGGACCTCCATATAACTACAATATCAGGGTCACCTGTGGTACACCTGGCTGTGAGGCCTGCAGTAATGGATCTCAATACATCAGTTGGGATGGCATTCACCACACAGAAGCTGCTAACTCCATCATAGCCTCGAAAATATTGTCCACAGCTTATTCAACACCACGGACTCCATTGAATTTTTTTTGCCGAAGATGATATGTTCAGGTGAAGCACATTTGAGTGCACACCACACATCCACGTGCTTTATTGTAGCAATTTTTCATCTTATAGCTATGAGAAGATGGTAACCTCGCATTGCCTGTAACAACAGTTAATGGAGGAATTAGGATGATCGCATCGCCGATCAGTGATTAGACAGATTTAGTTCCTTGCTGAAGCTAAACCGGGTGGCAAAGCATCTGTCAAGTGGCGAACTGGAAATAATTGGAGCATGGGAGAGCGTATGGATGGTCAAGATTCGGAACATGTCATTTGAGAGTCTGCTGCTATTCTCCTGCAGAGGGTTCTTATGTTGTGCTCGTCTATGTTTCTTGCTGTCTTAGAAATGGCTCTTCTCCAGTGAAGTAGTGGGAATGTATTGTTGTTTACCATATGATGGAATAAAAATGTAATCAGCTTCGTGTTTGTTTAGTGGCACACATACATTAATTTTAGAGGAAGCTGCATGCCTCGACATCACGAAGTGTCACTTATCATATTAGCGAATTGCGATTTAGCTCCCCAAAAAGTACGAGATCTCACGTTCAATATCTGTTGGCATGATCTCTTTCGAGACTTGTGTCGTAGGGAATACAAAGGACATTACAAAGTGTTGTAATTTTCGTACGTTGTTCATTTGAGCGTCATAATTTTTTTTTTCCAATCAATGAGGGCCATAACTTCTAAAATAAAGACATTCACTTGAATGTCCGTTCATTTGAGAATCATGACTTTCAATTATTCATTTGAGTTTAATGAATTCTAAAAAAAGCAAGTGTCATGACACGTTGAATGTCCGACATTATGGTGAACGTTTCTTAAAAAGTTGTCACGTGGGTGAATTTTTAGAAGTTATGCCATTATGGTGATCGAAATTTTTTTTATGGTATTTAGTTTGTGCATGTGAAAATCATGACAATTAAACTCTATTTGTTTCGTGAAAAATGAACAATATAGAAAATATTTTCTTAAAAATAATCGTTTATATCGCTTAAAATAATTAGTCAATGTAAAATGCTTTCATTACCGACAACAATTTATATCTAAATATATTACTGGATAATGCAAGTAATTTTGTAAATTTATTTTGACTTTGTTTATTTCGCGGAAAATGATCGATTAGAAATTTTTTTTTGTAAAAATAATTATTTACATTGGTTGAAGTTATTAGTCGATAAAAATATTTTTATTATTGATAACAATTTATATTTAAACATTTGAGTTGGGGATTCATATGCGGACGAACGGTCCTTCTGAACTCATGCAGCGATCTCCGGCACTTCCCCCGTCTCTCGGGTGTAGGACAAATTGATAGTGCGCGGAGGGTGTTCGACCAAATGCTTCAGAAGCCTGTTGCATCATGGAATAGCAGGCCCCATCAATTAACTATTTCGGACCGATGCTTAGGTAAGAGGAAAAACCACGCATCAGCTGAAAGAGAGAGGAGAAAGGGTTCAACTTTTACAGTCTTGGAACTTCGTCTTGCAGATTCATGTGCGGACGAAGTTCGTAATGGTCCCGCGTCGTGCTTTCTGTACTCATGCGGCGATCTCCGGTACTACCCACATCGCCCACCTCGTGCGTCTAGGACACATTGATAATGCGCGGAGGGTGTTCGACCAAATGCTTCACAAGCCTGTTGCGTCATGGAACGCGGTCATTGCCGGGTATTTCCAGAACAGCAGGCCCCATGAAGCGCGGAAGCTGTTTGATAGGATGCCTGAGAGGAACACGGTCTCGTGGAATGGGTTGGTTTCTGGTTATGTGAGGAATGGGATGATCGATGAAGCCAGAAAGGCATTTGATGTAATGCCCGAGCGCAATGTTGTCTCGTGGACGGCAATGGTGAGGGGGTATGTGCAGGAGGGGATGATATCCGCTGCAGAATTGCTTTTTTGGCAAATGCCTGAGAAGAATGTTGTATCATGGATTGTGATGTTGGGGGGCTTGATTCAAGATGGTAGGATTGATGAGGCCCGTCGGCTCTTTGATATGATGCCTGTCAAGGATGTCGTTGCTAGGACTAATATGATTGGAGGGTACTGTCAGGGAGGACGACTCAATGAAGCAAGGGAATTTGATCTGCTGGACGGCCATGATCACTGGGTATGCACAGAATAATCGGGTGGACATTGCTAGGAAGCTTTTTGAAGTGATGCCAGAAAAGAATGAGGTGTCCTGGACAGTAATGCTGATGGGCTATACCCAGTGTGGGCGGATAGAGGAGGCCTCAGAAATTTTCGATGCGATGCCAGTGAAGTCAGTTGTTGCCTGTAATGCAATGATCCTTGGATTTGGCCAGATTGGGGAGGTAGTTAAAGCAAGGCAGGTATTTGATATGATGAGAGAGAAGGATGATGGAACATGGAGTGCAATGATCAAGGTTTACGAGAGGCAAGGGTTAGAGTTGGAAGCGTTGGACTTGTTTGCTATGATGCAGAGAGAGGGGGTCAGACCTAGCTTTCCTTCCTTGATTAGTATCCTATCTGTTTGTGCCAGCTTGGCATGTCTTGATCAAGGCAGACAGGTTCATGCCCAGTTGATAAGGTCCCACTTTGACTTTGATGTGTATGTTACCTCAGTTCTCATCACAATGTATATTAAGTGTGGAAACCTTGTAAGAGCAAAACTGTTGTTTGATCGGTTTGGTGTTAAGGATGTGGTCATGTGGAATTCTATCATTACAGGTTATGCACAGCATGGTTTAGGAGTAGAGGCTTTGAAAGTATTTCAAGAGATGTGCTCTTCAATGACTCCACCAGATGCAGTTACCTTTGTGGGAGTTCTCTCAGCATGTAGCTACACGGGGAAGGTAGATGAAGGGCTAGAGATTTTTTTTCAATGAAGAGCAAATATCTAGTGGAGCCGCAGACTGAACATTATGCTTGCTTGGTTGATTTGCTTGGCCGGGCTGGCAGGTTAAATGAGGCCATGAATCTAATACGGGGGATGCCAATGGAAGCTGACGCTGTAGTTTGGGGTGCTTTGCTAGGTGCATGCAGGACATATATGAACTTAGATTGGCAGAAGTTGCAGCGAAGAAACTTTTAGAACTGGAGCCTGAGAATGCTGGACCCTACATCTTGTTATCAAATCTTTATGCATCAAAAGGTAAGTGGACTGATGTTGCAGATTTAAGGAGAAAAATGAGGTCGAGGAGTGTAAGCAAGTCACCTGGCTGTAGCTGGATTGAAGTAGAAAAGAAAGTACACGTGTTTACTGGAGGCGACTCTAGGAGCCATCCCGAACATGTTGATATCTTGAGAATGCTGGAGAAATTGGGTGTGTTGTTGAGACAAGCAGGTTATTCTCCAGATGGTAGCTTTGTGCTTCATGACATCGATGAGGAAGAAAAAGTGCATAGCTTAAGATATCACAGTGAAACACTTGCTGTAGCTTTTGGGCTTTTGAAGATACCTGAAGGCATGCCTATCCGAGTAATGAAGAATCTTCGAGTTTGTGGTGACTGTCATTCTGCAATCAAATTAATTGCAGAAGTCACCGGAAGAGAGATAATCTTGCGAGATGCTAACAGATTTCACCATTTCAAGGATGGCTCATGTTCGTGCAAGGACTATTGGTGATGACTCTTAATGTTGACGCTACTAGGAGAGAATCGTACCCAAGCTAAAGTCTTCTACGTATCCTGGCTCGTTCAACTGAAGATGAGATGAGGCAATCCATCTTTGCTCTAAAATTTGAGCATGCTAGGTGCCAACTTCTAGGTATGTGTGTCTATACCCTATTGGCAGAATCATAAGACTTAGATGGATACAGAATTGAACTTTATTTATGGACTCTCTAAAAAAGATTATTGGAATATAAATTGATTGACCTATACCTACTTCTTTTTTCACACAAAGTCTGAGGCAGGTTTTGTGATTGGGGAATCTTGCCTAATGTGCACAAATTCTTTTATTTCAAATCTTACCTAGAAATGCACGAATCAATGCATAATTATGCTTAATGATACATATTTAATGGAAATTATACCATCTATATATCCTCGGTTCATTGCGAACTGCTTCCTTGCAGTGACTTGAAAAATTTGAAGATGAATTGGCTAGATGCAAGGATTGATTGGAGAACTATACTGGCCTCAACCAACAGACGGAAAAAGGCGAACAGTCGTGGAATCAAGGTCTCAGGTGTCTAAGCTTTAAGCAAACAAACTTTATCGCCAGCAAAGGGTATCCAAATTGGGGAAGCTAGAGTTTGCACTGTCTGCTCCGGTTCTACTTTGGCATGGTAGTTTTGCCCCAGATACTAACATGACACCTCCCACATCTTTCTAGACTTTTAAGTGTTACTACTCTCATGTTGTTACTTGTTGATGAACCGCTGCCGGGGTGTTATGGAAGTATCAGTTGCAACAATCTTCGAAATATCAGAGTAGCCAGTCAAAAGTTGGTTGGTTTGCCACATGGAATCTTGGAGAGTAGGTGGTGTTCTTGCTGTATCATTTGGTATTATGCGTTTGTTCTAACATATGCAACCGATCAACTTCATTCCTTTTCCCTTTTCAATAAAATTGACTTTCCTCCTTTTCTAGGTGATGCTTCTGATTCGAGCTTGATGTTCTTGGAAGATGCCGGATCCTCTGCTGCTGCAGTGAGTGGACTCTGTCCTTACTGATCTTTGTTTCAGGCTCGCCTTGGAGTGATCAAAGTGCTGAAGAATTACCTACGTTGTCCGTTTCTTAATGTCAGAGATGTTGAGTTTTTTCTATTAGTTGGCTAGAACTTCTACCTTATTTGCTATAAAACTATTTGTGTAACACAAAGGTAATTTGGAGGCAATGCAAAACATTGGATGCATAACATAATTTCAGTAGGCGCAACTTCATGATCGACCTTAATCTAGGATTTTTTTTAATGCGTGGTCGATGGTTAATTTCAGAACCACAGGTTAAAGAATTGTTCATTTCTTTTATTTTTTATCTCAGGATATCTGAGAAACAGACATGATGGATTCTGTTTGCTTTAGTGTGGCGAAACTTATCTCATTGTTCATAACGCCTAGTGTCGCGTGGTCATTCGTCTTTCATGTCGGATAGTTTATCGCATGGTCCTGAACACATGGGAGGATATTGCATAGACTCATTTCACGGACTGGGCTAATAATACCTTACGAACATAGTTGAATCCCCACAGGACTCCAAAAAACAAAGTAACGAGCTTCGCCTATTTCGCGCAAAGCGATTAGTCCTGTTTCA